GCCTGGCAGCCCGTTGGTGGTTCCAGAGCCGGCTGCAGAAATACAGCCTCAACAGGGACCTTCTTTGGTCTGGATCCAGACCTCGCCAACGTGAGCACCACTGCCACATAGGCCGACCACATTTATTATTATTATTTATTTATTTATTTTTATTATCAAGGCTAATATGTGCACTAAACTATTCTCTGCCCCACAACGCAGCCCCTTACCATGAAGCAGATCGGGTTGGACTGCGGTCCCATTAGATTGCACTAATGGGGTACCTTTTACCCCTCAGGCTGGAACATCAAACCCGATGCGGCAAATCCGACACACTTGTGGAGGGCCAGAATGTCGGGCCCTCCAACAACGGGTCTAACCTCACTGGGAAGAGGCACACCAGAAGCAGTTGGCTGCACACCGGCCGGTCCGGGAGCGAGCTCAACAGACGGCCAAGAAGCAGTTTCCGGCACACCGGTCGGGCCGGCAACAGCCTCAACAGTGGACAAAGTCGCACCTGACGGCCCGCCAACGAGTGAGGTTGGCAATTCAGTGTCTCCCAAGGCAGCCCCATGGTACCCGACAGGTGCGCCCCGCCCGACGCTTTCCGCCACTCCAGCAGCTGTGCCCGTGTCTTCGTTGGCCACGAGCTCATTTTCAACAGAAATCGCATCCCCAGACAACTCAGAGGTTGGGCTGCCTTGCGTTACCTTTTGTTTCCGCTTTAGCGTTTCACGCCCAAGTGTATCGCTGACGTCTGTCAAAAGCCTCGTGGTGATGCCCTTAGCGCACTTGGTATTTATCTCCACCACGAAACAATTCCGATTCGCCTTGACGCACGCTATGGCGCCTGTACCGGAACCGGAGAAACCATCCAGAGCGCAAGCCCCGGCGGGAGAAAAGTTGTTCACAAGCCAGAGTACAAAGTATATGGCTTCTGGTACGGGCAGAGGACACTGCCACCAGGGTGCTGGTACTTCTGCGTCACAACATTAAAGAGCTGAAAATTGTGACGCATATCCATGGGATCAAAATTATAGTGCACCATCTCTCGCTGCCTAGTCTCGCTGTAATAGCCCAGCACGCAGAATTTCGTTGCACTTACAAGTTGGGGCCCACCGGGATTCGTTACATTAGGCTTGCACCACGTCAAAAACTCCTGCTCTGCATTGCAAACTTCTCGAAATGCGGAGCGAATGGAAGGAAGCATGTCCACCGAACAGAATCTCGCAACTGTCCACAAGGGGGCACTGGAAATGTCCTTGAGATTATGAAGAACCTATGTCCGACTCTGGGAACGGCTTATGATCAGATGCATGTCCCTCGTGCACAAAGCCGTAACGGAAGTCGAAAATAGTCAGAGATATCGGAAGTTTCTCTTTCTGCAGCTTTGATAAAAACTGCATGTCGCCATTGATAATTTTCACTCCCGCTGAGTCGTTCTCGTGTGTCACCTCGGTCCGGTTGACGAACGGTTCCACGAGAGGTTTCGAATGGAACGTGTAAAGAGCCTCCTTTGCTTGCGGTCTCCTCTCCTTGTTCTTCCATTCCAAAGCCTGTTTAATATGACCATCTAGTGCGGGGATACTCGTCTGACCCCTTTTGATGCCACCAACGAACTTCTCTAAAATCTTTTTCTTCGTGTGGAGAGGAAACTCCTTCTCCACCTCCTTGAAGTCACCAGCACCCACCCCCACCGCGAATGCCTTGCAGACATAGGCGAGTTGTTTGACAAGCTGAAACTTATTCTCCATCTCCTTGAGCGAGATCTGATTCGCAATGACCTCAAGGAGGATAGGGACGGCATTCTCTGGAGGCATACTACCTATGGTTATCCAGTGTTGCGCCGACATGTCCTCGGCAACCATGGGGACTCTGTTACCCTGCAGTTGCACCCGAGGATACAGAAGCGTCATTTCTTGCTCTTTCGCAGTTGCCCTATCAAGCCTCTTCCAACGCTGGTTTTTCTTCTCGCCCTCCGGCTCGCTTGATTCCAGATCCGGGTCCACTTTCAAGAAGCTCTCCACTGCCGGCTTCAATTTTTGACCTTTAACCTCACTCTTCTGCCACATCCTCATGATCTTGCACATGAGCTCCCAAATTTCTTGGGGTTTAAAAACACACTGCAGCAATGGGTCCTGAGCCCCCAATTTCTTGGCCGCGTTCGGAATCCCTGTTTCAGGCAAGCGAGCTTTACTTCTTGCGACTTGACTCACCCCCTACTCTCAAAGACTTGGCTCCACCACCTGAGCTTCTCGGTGAAGTTCAAGTCCCTGTGGTAGCCCGCCGCAAAGTTATGCCTGTGGGCAACCTGCCTCGCTTTATTGACCATCAGGCCGACGTAAACATAGCAGACATTGTACTGGTACTCCTGATTGTCGGGGTTCATGCGTGCTAACCGCTCCCTCGCCTCCCGACTGTGGTCGCCACCAAGCACAAAAATGTTGTACTCGTCGGCTCTCGACTTCGTCAAATTCACCTTTTCTTGGCGCCTGGCCTGGGCAGGGTCGACAAGGCCAACGAAGGGAAGATGATCTCCAGTTCGCTGCTTCAACATGGATTCCATGATGGACTTCACATGGTCCTCGTCCGACTCTCGCACCTCTATTGGTTTTTTCCTATTCACCAGGGGTGGTCTCTTCAAGCATCTCAATGGAAGGTAGAAAGACTCGTGCGAAAGTTTCTTCTCCTTCAAACTCTTCAGCTCCTCCCACGTTTTTGTTAAATTCTCTGTGCGCTCGTTCGACACAAAACCTTAGGGTACCTGGAATTCCTCTTCCCTCCCCTTTCCCTTCCATTACCCTTCCGAACGAGGCGGACCCGGTGTGACTCATTTCTTCTTGGGAACCTTCTTTGTGCCCGATCCCATTTCCAGACCACCAGAAGACTCAACAATGGTTTGAGGAGAAATCACATCTTTAGGGCGTTGTGACCTCGCTTTCGAGGCACCCCTCGTGGTCGTCGTCATTGTCGTTGGAGTTTGAGATTTTTCTTCTTCCTCTGCGTACTTGAAAGGAAGAAGTCTCTCGTCCATATTTGCCCGTAAGAATTCAGAAAGTCCTTCCACGAAAGGCTACACAAAAGAAAAAACAATGGTTGATCAAGCGTGTCAGAAAAACTTATAGGCCTATAACTCATTAAGAGCGGAATACACACTCAGAGCAACGCTGCCTACAACAAGTGCAATAAAACAACGCAGGTACGTAGTGGAAAGTTCTAGGCCTACAACTTCCCGAAGTTAAAGGCGAATAACTTCTAGAAGCGCATGATACGCAGTAGAAGTTATAGGTCTATAACTTTCGGAAGCGAGAAAGACGCTGAAGGTACGTTGTGGAAGTTAGAAGCCTCTAACTTATTGGTCACAAGAATTCAGAAAGTCCTTCGACGAAAGGCTACGCAACACAGTGGAGGCATAAGTGCAAAAGAAACAAATAGGCCTATAACTCTTCAAGACTGAAACACACACTCAGAGCAACGCTTCGTACAACAAGTGCATTAGAAATTGAAGGCCCAAAACCTCCAGAACCGAAAGATACACGGTAGAAGTTTAAGGACTACAACTTCGACACGCGAAAACCTCCAAGTGGAAGTTGTAGGACTACAACTTCCAGAAGCGAAAGATTTGGAAGCGATCAAAACGAAGAAGGTACGCATTGAAAGTTGAAGGCGTGTAACTTCTACAAGCGCCAGATACGGCGTGAAAGTTATAGGCCTATAACTTTTAGATGCGAGAAAAATGCAGAAGGTACGTAGTGGAAGTTAGAGGTCTGAAACTTTTGGAAGCTACGTTGTGGAAGCAACGAAAGTTGAAGGCCTTTAACTTCTACAAGCGTAAGCTACGCTGTGGAAGTTGAAGGTCTGCGACTTCAAAGAAGCGGAGTGAAACTTGCAGCTCTACAACTTTCATAAAAGAGAGATATGCAGTGAGAATTTTAGGAAAGGTGAAAGCATTTACCTTGCAACCAATCTTGTTTAATGCCAACAACTTCTTGTTTTCGATGGACATCTTCATGGGCATTAATTTGTCCCCCTTCAAAAGACATTTCACAACCTTATTCTTGATGATGACCCACAACTCGGCCATAAGATATTTCTCCGTGACGTGCGTTGCAAATAAAATTTCACTAATTTCAAAATAAACACCGTTGCCGGTGGTCTTGACGTGAAGTAGAGCGGTACCAGTTGTGATGTACACGGCCCAAAAGAACAGCTTAAAGTCGCTGCGAATAAGCCTCGACTCAAAGAACTCTCTTTGGCAACTGTCGTCCTCCTCCATTGGATCTTCTTCTCCTCCATCCTCGTACTCTATTTATTCTTCTTTTTCGGCTTCTTCTTCATATTCTACTTCTTCCTCGCCTGTGCCTCCTCCTTCCTCTTCCTCTTCCTCTCCTTCCTCTTCCTCTCCTACGCCTCCTCCTTCCTCGTCCTCTCCTTCTTCTTTAACAAATTCTTCCTGATCTCCTTCTCCCGATTGGGGAAGATCATCCTCTCCCCCTTCGTCATGAAGGGCGTTATACTCCGGTGGTTGCCTCTGTTGCACAACCCCTCCAGAGCACGTCGGCTGCCCCCGAGAAGACACAGTGCCGGCTGCTCTAGCACTTCTCCCCTTGCTCGTACCCCTCACACCCCGGGATATCTTCATCGTCGCGAATGGACTGCACGCAAAGAGGCATTCAAAACAAATGTCAGGCATGGCAAGAGTGGTTAGAGATCCTTGACACCCCTGCTTATTGTGTCCGTATGTCTCTGTGTCCATGTGTGTCTGTGTATGTGTCGTTCTGTGTGTCTGTGTCCGTGTGTGCGTGTGTCTGTGTGTGTCTAACTGTGTCCTTGTGTGCGTGTGTCTGTGTGTAAACACGACTGGCACAGGCGAAAGTGATTATAGGCCTATAATTTTTATGGGGAAACTTTTCAACACTTCAAGCTTGTGTCTTTATGTGTGTGTTTGTGTGTATCTTTGTTTGTACGTGTGTCTGTGTGTGTTCTTGTGTGTGTCTATGAGTGTGTGTCTGTCCCTGTGTATGTGTGGCAGGCTCAGGCGAAGGTATTTATTGACCTTTAACAGTTTTTGTAACACTTTTCAGCACTTACACGCCTGTGGTTTTATGTGTGTCTGTGTGTGTGACTGTGTATGTGTCTAGGTGTGTCTGTGTGTGAGTCTCTCTTTGTCTGTGCCTGTGCGTGCGTGTCTGTGTTTGTGTCTGTGTGCGTGTTCGTGTGTATGTGTCTGTGTGTGTGTCTGTGTGCTTGTGTTCTTGTATCCGTGTGTGCGAGTGTGTGTTTGTGTGTGTGTGTGTGTGTCTGGGTGTATGTGTATCTGTGTGTGTGTGTGTCTGTATGTGTTTGTGCTCCTTCGTTCTTGCGCTCGTGCCAGTGATTGTGTGTTTGCACCTGTGTGTGTGTGGTTGTGTGTGTTTGTGCCTGTGTGTATGGTTGTGTGTGTCTGTGCGCGGGTGGTTGTGTGTGTTTGTGACTTTGTGTGTGTGTGCTTGCGTTAGTCTATGCCAGTGTACACACACACGGACACAGACACAAACATACACACATTAAGCCACGAACACAGACTGAGTGTGTGTCCGTGTGCAGTACACAAAAACATACAAACACGGACAAAGACTGTGTCAGTGTGTCCGTATGTGTCTGTGTCCGTTTGTGTCTGTGTCCGTGTGTGTCTGTGTACGTGTCTGCGTGCATGTGTCGTTTTGTGTGTCTGTGTCCATGTATGCGTGTGTCTGTGTGTGTCTAACTGTGTTCTTGTGTGCGTTTGACTGTGCGTAAACACGACTGGCACAAGCGAAAGTGATCATAGGCCTTAAATAATTATGGGAAAACTTCTCAGCACTTCAAGCGTGTGTCTTTATGTGTATGTCTGTGTGTGTTTGTGTGTATCTATGTTTGTGTGTGTGTCTGTGTCTGCGTGTCTGCGTGTCTGTGTGTGTCTGTGTGCCTGTGTTCTTGTGTCTGTGCCTCTGAGTGTGCGTTTGTGCTTGTGTGTGTCTGTGTGTGCGTGGTTGTTTGTGTCTGTGTGTGTGCCTCTGTGTGTGTGTGGTGGACACGGGCAAAGGTGCTTGTAGGCCTATAAAAGTTTTAGGAGCATTTACAGGCCTCTATCTTTATATGTGTCTGTGTGTGTAACTGTGTTTGTGTCTGTGTGTGCGTATGTCTGTGTGACTGTAAGTGCCTGTAAGTGTAAGTGTGTGTTTGTGCCTGTGTGTGTGGTTGTGTGTCTGTGTGTGTGTTTGTCTGTGTGTTTGTCTATGTTTGTGTGTGTGTGTGTGGTTGTGTGTGTGTGTGTGTGTGTATGTGTGTTTGTGTGTGTGTGTATCTGTGTGTGCGTGTCTGTATGTATGTGTATTTGTGTGTGCGTATATCTGTGTGTTCTTGTGTGTGTGGTTGTGTGCATCTGTGTCTGTGTGTGTATGGTTGTGTGTGTATGGTTGTGTGTATCTGTGTGTGTGGTTGTGTGTGTCTTTGACTTTGTGTGTGTGTGCTTGCGTTAGTCTGTGCCAGTGTACACACACAAAGACACACACACGGACACAGACACAAACACACACAAACGCATGCACATTAAAACACGGACACCGGCTGAGTGTGTGTTCGTGTGTCGTACACAAAAACACACAAACACGGGCACTGACAGTGTCAGTGTGTCCGTATGTGTCTGTGTCTGTGTACGTGTTTGTGTGCGTGTGTCGTTGTGTGTGTCTGTGTCTGTGTGTCTGTGTGTGTCTGTGTCTGTGTGTCTGTGTGTGTCTAACTGTGTCCTTGTTAAGACCTTTCTCAATGTAAGAAGAGTGTTGATGCCAAAGTGTCAAGACGAAGATTGTCAGGTGGTTTCCGGACTTTCGTCAATGTTCTACAAGCGGAGGCGACAAGCAGAACACTCTACCGAAGCTCAATGCAAATGGTGAGAAAACCACCAATGTCTGTTTGTTTTCGAAGCGACCGCGATCGAAGACGACAACAAGAACGGTTATTGCACCATGGCGAGCGGCAAACACAATGAAAGATGTCTGCGGAACTGACAAAACTGGGAGTACAATCCAGATAGAGCGTCCAATGAAGCGTCAGTGCCCGAACGCTAAAGACGAACAATCCAGACAGATCGACGATGTACGGGACTTGAGCGAGAACTTTGTTGTGAAATAAATACTCGACAGCAGTTTTGCGCAAGAATTGCGTGACAACGACAATGACGAGGAGGAAGCGAGCGACGACGATGACGAGGAAGAGGAATCGAGCGACGACGATGTCGAGGAATTGAGCGAGGAGGAGGATTCAGAAGACATAGACTCTGAGGATGATGAAGTAAAGGACAAGTCAGAAATTGATGTCGACATGTTCAAGAAGAGTCTATCTGGAGAACTTTTAGGAGAAGCGAAGCAGATAGCAGTACAGGAGGTGAGAAGAGGATTGTACAGCAAATCAAGCAAGAGTGAGAAACCTCCTTACAACTTGGGAAAACGAGGTAGGAACGTACGAGTGTACAACAAGAAAGTTAACTACCACGTGAACATGAAGAATGTCGAATTAGTTTTCAAGGAAGATTGTTGCAAGGCCAAATGTTACAAAAAGTTCACGGTAAAAGATGTTTTCTACAAGCGAGAAGAATTTTGGGCGATAAAACATCTTAAGCAAGTCAACTTCCTTCTCGCAGAGATGAGGGTTGCGTATTTTTCGAATGATGGAGATTTAGAGGTGTTAAGAGTGACATTCAACGGCATAAAGGTTTGCACAAAAGCGTGGGGAAGTTGTACAGATGCTCGACTACACGTGTTGCAAAGCTACGCAAAGACTTCAGAGTCGGACCAGTGTTGTACGAACATGAAAACAAAGGATCAGTCAGTTTATCTGCTTCATCGCAAGAAATTATGACCTGATTGCATAAATATTTTCGATTTAACACAGAGAGTATGCCGAATAGCGACCAGTTTCATCTTTCAAATACTCTCCGACGCAGATACGTGTACGATTTCTTCAAGCGAGACTTCAAAGCGCTTTACACGAAGAAGACTCTTCCTCCCCGTTCCAAATTTATGACCATTTGGAGAGTTTACTGCCCCGAAGTTCTCATTCCTGCATTGAAGAGGTTCTCGGTTTGTTCCACATAGGCAACAAGTGCGTTCGAACGAGGTAATGACAGAACCTCAATGCTTATTTTCTCTTTCTCTGTCTTCCTAACTCTTCTTCTTCTCTCCCTAAGTATTCTTCTCTCTCTCTCTCTCTCTCTCTCTCTCTCTCTCTCTCTCTCTCTCTCGATCTGTCTCTCTTAATATCCTTTTTAACATTTGTTTTTACATAAGAATCATTTGTGTTTCGCCTTAAATAATAAGTCAAAGAAGATCCGGTAAACGATGTATATGATTAAAGCACGACAGTGTTCATTTTTCAATGTTTGGCACAACGCAACTGGCTGTTCCGACTCATTCTTCAATGTTTGTCACATCTCGACTGACTATTATGACTTACAACCCTATAAGTTGTTTTTTTTCAAGAAACGTAGATGCTGAGATTCGCACATTCTAGAAAGGGTTCTCATGAAACTCTTTTTTTTCTCTCCCCAAGTCTTCTTCTTCTTTCCTCCCTCTCTTTCTCTCTCTCTCTCTCTCTCTCTCTCTCTCTCTCTCTCTCTCTCTCTCTCTTTCTCTCTCTCTCTACTACCCTTTTGAACATTTGTGTTTATATACGAGTTATTTTTGTTTCATCGTGAATAGTTAATTAAAGAAGATCTGGGAAATTACGTATCTCATGAAAGCACCTCTGTGTTACATACGAATCATTTGTGTTTCGTCGTAAATAGTTATTTAAAGAAGATCTGGGAAATGACGTATCTCATGAAAGCACCTCTGTGTTCATTCTTGAATGTTTGGCACAGCGCGACTGGCTGGCTGTTATGGCTTATAACCCTATAAGTTATCTTTTTGTAGAAAAGTAAATGTTGTAATTAGCACATTCTAGAAACGATTCTCATAAAACTAGAAAGTTTGTTAAAGAAAGAGTTCTGTAATTTTCTGGTTTGAGGCGACCGACTGTTCTTAGTAACGTCCTTGCAACCGACTATCTCTAAAAGACTAAAACTTTATTAGTGACGTCTTCGTTGTCTTGCCGGTACTCTTTCATTTAATTAAAACAGAGATTTTGTGGAAGAATGGATTTATTAGTGTACGACGACACTTGTCGTTTGACTATTCTGAGTCATAGCCCTATAACACTTTATTTCGTAATCGACTTCGATTTTCAGGTCCTTAATTGGGCTTGGTCTCTCTTTGTAAACGAGTCTTGAGAGAGTATTCGCTTGTTTTGTTTTTTGCGCAGAAATGTTTGGCAAAGCACTAGAGAAACACCGATTAGTGCAAGGAGAAGAGAGGCAAAATTTAGTAAGCATCGCCACAAGGCGTCCAACCGACCGGTGAAGTACGTTGCAATGATCATCGATGGTATGGATCAGAGCACGACCATACTGCCACACTTTAAAAAGGTTCCAAAGGATTCGAAACTGAAAGAAGATAACTTTGTGAAAGTTCACGTGGTTGGGGCTAAGGTGTTAGGATTTTCCTCGACCACCTTTGCAACTGTTTTCTTTGACAACTTCAAATCCGATTCTAATTGCATGCTAACTGTTCTTCATCGTTGGGTTTTTCAACTTCCTAGACCATTTCCGAGAGTCCTCTATCTCACACTTGATAACACTTCGAAAGAGAACAAGAACAAATTTGTGCTAGCATATCTCGTGTTCTTAGTAAAAATGAGAGTTAAAATTTCTTCTTGTAGGTCACATACACGAGGACATCGATGAGATGTTCAACTGTTTCTCGAGAAAACTGGTTGTACAAGATGCGTTCGATCTTCCTGAGTTGCAACACATTATTAAGGAGTCATACAAGGTTAAACAAGATCATAGTGTTTACGTTGAGGAGATGAAGAAAGCAATTGATTGTAAGTTGTACATTTAGGATCATCTACATAATGTCAATGATATTAGTTTCAATCAACATGTCCGAATCAAGCACAACGACGACGGAGAAGTGCGCATTTGGAGCAAGCAATATCACAATTCGCAGTGGCAGTCGAACGACCGAGAAGGTCAGGACATTTTCAAGTTAGAGCCAACAAGACAAGTTTAAGCTTCGCCAAAGCATGCAATCCGATCTTTGAAAGCCAAATTCCGACTTACTTGTCGAGGTGAGTACGAGAGGTGTGAGAAGGTTGGCAGAAGTGAAGGTCATGTTCGTAATCGACAAACGGGAGGATCTTCAAAATTCAAGGTCGGCGATGATGTACTTTTCATTGCGGCCTTGACGGACACGCTCGTAGTGCGATGAAAGTGTTGACCTCGAGATCGTCGTACTTTCCGTCTCTTTCCTCTCGGAACTGTCTGCTCTTGCGTGCGCCGATGTAGATGGGTCTCTTATGAGGGAAAAAATCATCCCAACGTTGATCGAAACCATCAGCGGTTGATAAAACTTTTTCACCTGCTCTGCTGACATCAACTTCGATAAAGGGTCACACGAAAGACTCTTTGAGATTTTTGTCCTCAAGGTCGAGTGTTTCCTGCGTTATTATGTTGTGGGGTTGAGCATAATACGACAAACCTTGTCGTATTATGCTCAACCCCACAATAAGTTCATAGCAATGCAGGAAACACTCGACCTTGAGGACAATAATCTTAAAGAGTCTTTCGTGTGACCCTCTATCGAAGTTGATGTCAACCCCACAACATAGTAACGCAGGAAACACTCGACCTTGAGGACAAAAATCTCAAAGAGTCTTTCGTGTGACCCTCTATCGAAGTTGATGTCAGCAGAGCAGGTGAAGAAGTTTTATCAACCGCTGATGGTTTCGATCAACATTGGGATGATTTTTTCCCTCATAAGAGACCCGTCTACATCTACGCACACAAGAGCAGACAGTTCCGAGAGGACAGAGACGGAAAGTACGACGATCTCGAGGTCAACACTGTCATCGCACTCCGAGCTTATCCGGGGCAGGAAGAGAGAGGCAAACCTCACCACATTGGCAAGGTTGTCGAACTACTAGCAGATAAACATTTCAAAGTCGCTTAGTTTGCACAATGTAAGAAAAGAGAGGGTTACTATCCTCAGTTCAAGACAAATCCTCAAGGAAAGACTACAAGAGGGCCTTCCGAGGACGTCTACGACTGGAGCTGCGGCGTTTTTTGTTACAACTTTCAACTTAAGGCATACACGACCCTTTTTTCGCAGACCAGACAAAAGATATCCGAGATGTTAAATTCAATGGGAACGGAGGATGTTGACTAGGAACACCTTCTAGGAACCCATTGTTTCGGAGGTTGTCAGAGAGTCATCGCGATTAAGGTGATTTTTGGTTTCACAACAGAGCAAGTTTCATTTTGTCACTGTTGACCAGATTATCTTAGTTTAGTCGTTAGTGGTTATTAATTCCTTGTAAATTTTGTACATCAGTAGGTCGTAGTTCGCGTAACCCCGTTTGACCAGGAATGTGTGGCCAACCTTTGTTGTTTTGGCGATCTGTTTCATTGCATTTCACGTATTTTTACTTTCCGATTTTGAAAATTCGAAAATTGACTGAAGATTTGTGGTTCGAGTTTCAACTATTCGAAGCATTTACAACTCCAAATATTTTTCTTTTACGTTTCTTTAGAGAAAACTTTTGTTCGTCATTCTTTTATTATCTTCCCTCCGTTTTGTTTTTTCAATGCATTTTGCTCAGCAAAGGGTGCGAAATGAGCAACTTGTTAACGAAACTTGTTTTTCATTTTTTTGTTGTAGTCTTTTTTAGGACATTTCGCTTTGTCATGCAATATTTGACAAAAACATTTATAATATGAAAGACTGACGATGCGGGTTTGTAAAATCAAGTTTTGTTGGAATTCTGTTTTTTTTTCAATTATCATGAATTTAAATTTAAAGATCTGTAGTATCATATTCAAATCTTTAAACTTTTTAATAATGTTCAATTTGCTGAACCTGAGTTGCTCGAAGGGTACGAAAAATTTTTCGTCATGTTTAAGATGTTGCAGTTCTAAAAGGAAAAAGGAAGCTTATTACATCAAACGTGACACGAGAAGTGTCACCGAAAGCGTCTTTCATTTTCTTTGTATTTAGCTAGGTTGTTTTATCGGACGTCCGGGACCACCCTGACTGTCCGGGACGTCCGACCGGACGTCTGGTCGGACGTCGGACCGGACAGGGGATGTCCGACCTAGCGCAAAAAAAAAAAAAAAAAATCATGTGGCTTCTACCTTGCATAAGGTGTATGCCACCAAAATTTTGGCTTATTAGAGCCTGTAGAAAAAAAAGATAAAAATCTTCAAAGATTATAATCCCCACCTATACCCCTCCTATCCCCACCAACACCCTTCGTACCCCCCCCTCCCACCCCAGATAGCACCCTATCACCAAATGCTCAGAAAATTCTGAATTTTTTTATGGGGGGTCTCTATGGCATGCGCAACACTGTCATAATTTTTTATTTTTTATTTTTATTTTTTTTTCTAGTGTCAAAAGGTCGTTGTCCTGAAATCTTGATGACGGGGGTGCCCTACGTCCGGGGAGACGTTCGGGGGAGACGTCCGATCTCCGGACCATTGGTAACATAAGTATTTAGGGTAAAACAGTGATTGATTTTTCGAACGCTTATTGTGCCCTAAGCTAGTTGTCGATTGACAAATCATATGTCTTAACGTTTTGATACAATTTTTATTTTTTTAAGTTATAGGGCTATAATTTCATCAGTCTTTGATAACAAATTTTCAACGATGTAATATGCGTTTTTAGGGTTTTAAACACTTGACACATTACCTTCTAAAATTTC